ATGCTATGACACAATTACACCTCCCCTTTCCCTCTTTTCCGCCTACATAAGCGTGCGGGAGCAGCGTCCCCATTGCTGCTTTAAGTTCTGATTCTACTGTTTTTGCTGTTGCCCCTGTCGCTGATGTTGATTTGCCAAAAAAAAGCCAAAACAAAAATGATGACAAATCAAAGGCGCTGACGACATATTGAGATTAGATATTTGGTTAGCTGGACTTTTAGTTCCGTTACAATTTAATTAGCAGAACATTTTAATTCTATACGTCTCGTATTGTGTTCTGTTTATGCAATACTCAATACTAAACTAATTATCATGTTATCATTCTATTATGGTGATTATTTGCTAAGAATTATAGAATCTTGCAGAAGGATTTTGTAAAAAAAAGTAAGTAATTGCAACGGGTGGAAGCATCATTGTGTACATACACACTCAATTAAATAAATACTAATATTCTATATATTTTGAGCTTACATATAAATTAATACTTTTTTTACTAAGTGCTTGTACAACATTAACAAATAATTATTACTTTTAATAGCGGCAGCAACATTTTCAGTTTCAGTTTTGCGGCCGACGCATCGCACAGTGGTGCCGTTGCTCATAATTTTGGAACCGTGATTGGTTCATATTTTCCAAATTTTAATAGCAAATGAAAGTGAATTGGTGGTTAAATAACATAGAACCTATTTTTTAGGTTGTAAAGAATTTATTATTTTTTGTTGAGTGTTGAAAAAGCTATTTAAATATAGAAGTTTGCTAAAAATAATGATAATTCTAACTTAATCAGAGGAAACATATTTTCACGTTTTAAACAATAATATTTTTAAAATTGTTTTATGGAATTCTTGCAATTCAACAGGAAAATAGATCGGATTTTTTTTTTCTATTAATGTATCTCAACTTTAAATGCTTATATTTACACTTTACTTTTAATCTAAATTTCGGATTCTGGCTCTCTGATTCAGATTCAGATTCTATAATTAATTTTTCCAATAACTTTATCAAAATTGTTGAATTTTGCCACGTTTGGGCGGCAGAAGCCCTACTGTGGGTCGGTCGCCGTCGACGTCGTCGCATATTACTTCACATACTGAATGCAATGGGCTACCAGATAAATTGAAACAATATGCTTATATTGTTCCAAGCAAATGAATTTATGTAGTATATGGAAATGATAGCCATCTATGTTTATATAAGAGGGCTGAATCAAGTGCTCTTTCAATTTACCTTAGACCGTTATAATCTCTTCTGATTACCACCTCACATTAAGAAAAAAAAGAAAGAATGAAATTGACAATGAACAAGCTTTAACAAGCTGTAGACTGCTGACCCATAGTTTTCACCTTGTCTCGTGTTATGAATCATTCTATCAACAAATCAAATCAATCCATCAACTTGTCATTGGTTAACACACATTTCAACGGTCATAATGGGGGAATGGATGGGGTGCGGTTATTTATAAGGAACATCGCCTTCGACGATTGACCAAAATATCGGACTACCGTTCGTTAATTGAATTATTTTTATAACCTGAACCCTTTGAAACTGGGAAATCAGAGTTTAATGGTATTGTGCAAATGTATGTAAAAGGCAGAAGGAGATGTGGCAGATCCCAAAAAGTACAAATATTCTTTATCAGGACGACAAAGCGAGTCGATGGAGCCCTGTCCGTCCGGCCGTATGTGTGAACGCGTCGATCTCAGCAGCTATAAGAGCTAGAGAAATTTATTTGTAGGTCCGTGTACAGGATGCGCATATCGTTTGTTTCATATATTTGGTAACTATTCCCATTTAATTGCTATCGAATAAAATTGAAACGATCGTTAATAAATTATATCTCGTACGTCTTCAGAGCTAGAGCCTCCAAATTTTATATTTAGTTTTATTTATATTTTATGCAGTTTTGATTCTTAAAATCAAAGTTCATTTGGAAATAGGGCCATTATTTGAAGGCGTTTGCATCTCTACCAAGTCAATAGAATATATATGCTGAAAATTTCATTAAAACCCATTAAGTAAAACCGATGTTATTTAACAAAACCAAATTGCCAAAGTCAAATTGCAAAAGCACATGTCAGCAGCGCCACGCGCACGCATTTTTCCTATACGTATGCAAGCACACATTCAAATGCGTGTATTCTTTTCTATTCGAAGAATCGAAATTGCGATTGAATACTGCTTGAATTATCAGCTGCTACTTTAGTTCAAATTTGCAACTCTTCTCAAAAAAGGTGCAGTGGCTGCGTTGGTAGAGGCGGTGCTCGTAAGCAGTTAGTCCCTGTGTTCGACCCCGGCGGCGATGGAATATTTTTTATTGATTTATACAAGTATGAAGTGGCGATACTCGAAACAAACTATGGAAAATATTAAAAAACGTAGATAGGAGTGGCATCAGGGTATCTCCTAGTCGGGCACTCCAACTAGAGCTTTCTTATTTGTTTGAAGATCAAGTAGACGACAATGTTGATGATGGTATCGTTGTGTCAATTTTTATTTGTTTTACAAACTACGGAAAAATTAAAAAAAAGCCCAGATAGGACTGGGATAGATCAGGGTATCTCCTAGTCGGCCACCCCGAATAGAGCTTTCTTACTTGTTTTTTGTTCATGTTGTTGTTCTTAACCAACCTTGTGAAAGAGCCGAATCGCGCAATGTCAAACAATGACTCAGCGCACGAAAACTTCACATCAGATCAACAAAGTCAAGTTTCAAGATTAAGTAAATGTTTTAGTAAAATTATTCAATATATATATAACTCTGTATACACTGTTCTTATCTTAAAATAGAAAACACATTATGCTAACTTTATTATGAACTCCTGTAGTCTTTAATACATGCTGGAAGCGATGTCTCATGAAATGGTGGACTTTATTAAGTTTTGAACAAGGATATTTTGCCCCTTTTCTAGAAAAGCAGCTTTTTTCGTTTTCTACCTCTTTTCTTTGGGTATGCCCATACATGATCAGATCGGGAAGATCTGAAGAGCCAAGTTCGTACAATAATCTCCTTAAGCTTTGAGCATTGTCTTGATAGAATTTAAAATTTGTGTTAAACAAGCCACATTTTTTCGCACTTCTCTTTAAATTCATGATTACAATGTGAGGCATTCATTATGTCCTCTATATATGCCAGTTCTACAACTCCTCGGCCAGATATGGATCCCATAGCATAGCTAAAATCTCTCAAAATGATGATTCTGCTTTCCAAGATTGTTAATGCTTTCCGCCATAATCTGGATGGAGCATTAATACTGTAAAGAATTACTATTGTTTTGTCGCAAAATATAACGTTTCCTCAATATTTCGCCGGCTGAACAATCATGTTTACAGCAAAATTGAAGCTTTTTCTACATTTACCAATAAAAGCAGTGGTTTCCAGCGTGCAACTGACACACCTTAGTCACATTCTTCCTTCGCAAGTGTCCGTACTAATAATTGCGGATTTGTGCCCTTTTCTTCAGTGTATATGTTTACAGTTTCTTTCTAGATATATAAATATGTTTGAGTGAAGTGAAATAGTATATTAGTCCATCTTGATGTGGGTCCGTCAGCCTGTCCGTATAAATACAAAACATTTCGCCACTATGCATTCAAAACTATATACACCACAGAGTTCTATATCTTCTAAAGTCTAAGAGCTACAAACATTTGAATTAATGTTTACTATCTCTCAATGCACAAAAAACTAACGTATCTTTGGAGGAGAAGAGTATCGAAAAAATCCTAAAATTTCCAGTTTTGGAGCCTAAGCTGCGAACAATTTACAGTTATGTTACTGTAAATTCCTTCTATATATTTTTCTTCTATATTTTTTAGGTGCCGACGTTTAGAACCTGAATGAGTATTGGCTTTTTTATTTCATTACCATTACATTTAGGCTTTTATTAAATTTTAATTTTTTACCTATTTTATTACACAAGAACAATTTTTTGCTCATTTGATGTTTGCTGTTCTTTGCTACTTTTGCTGCGACATTTATGAAACTGGTTAGCGGTTAACTCCGCTCCGCAAAATTAGCCCTGTCTGTCCGCCTACCTGTCTGCCTGTCCGTATGAACGCAGCGATCTCGTAAGCCACAAAAACTGGACTTGAAACTTTATATGTGCTATTTGTATTATATACTTTAATACATTAAAGTATCGTATCAGGGTATCTCCCAGTGGATCATTCTCAACATGAATTCTTTTTGTTGTTACTCGATTGGACATGGCAATCAATTATTGCTCCAAACAACCTCAACTTTCCCTCTCGCTCCTTCACACTATGCTTTTAGAAACCTTTGTTTATAGAATATTTACTGTTAATAAAATCATGTTTTTGAAGTTTGTCATCAAAGACATTTTCGACTTCCCGTTTTTCTCCACTCCCTCTATCTTTCTCACTTGTTAAGTATGTTTATATAAGTTTGTGTATGCATGTACCTGTGCATGAGAAAGTTTTGGTTGCCTTTAAATTTAAGCAATGCCATAAATTCATGGGGAGCTCTTAATAAGGATACAGGTAATTAAGTGGGCACCCAGGTAGGTAAGTGTAAGGGAATAATTGGAAACAATTATTTTCGATTTGATATTTAATATATTTAAATTAGGATTTCCTCGTTGCTTGCTTATAGTAAATCAAAAAATATTGCTAGCCCATGAAGGTATAAAAAAGTAAATTGAGCTTTTCGATTTCAAATCAATTAATTCAATTTGAATAATTCATTGATAGTTATTGATACATAGTTAGAAAGTTATGATTTTTGCTGTGGATAATTTAAATTATAAATTATATTATAAAGAACGGAAAATTACATTTTATTCCGTATTGCATACCGTATTGAACTGCATTACGTCTTAAATGTTAATTTGACATATGATAAATATATATAAACACTTGCAAATGCAGAAAACACATTCACATTGTATACATTTTTATATACAATATAATATTTTTATTTCTCAAAATATTTATTTTTGTGTGTTTTTGTATTACGGGTTAATAGCATTCGTTGTCACTTACCAGCAAACCAGTTTCGACGTTTGGTATTAAAATTATCTTGGAGCCGTCCATTAAGTTATGACCTCTAAGCGTTCCCTCTTGTAGTTCTCTGTAATTAATAGATCAGAAATCGATGGCATTATTATCATTAGTATTTCTAAATTTGAAGGCAAACGCTCACATAATACACTGTCATTAAAAAATGCGTACAATGAGTACACAATAAATCATGATTTGAGCTGTTAAACCATCTATATAAACAGTGTTGTTATAATATAATATGTTTTCATTAATAAACACAGACATTAACTTTTTTAAATTGTACAAACATTTCTTTACAATTAGAATAGATTGTACATTTGTATGAATATGAATACCCTGCAATATTGTTAAGAGGATACATTTATTTGATTGAAATTTTTTTAACAGACCGACGAAGGCATATGAATTATTATAAATTTATAGGAATATTTATACTTAAAATCTTGCTAAAATCTTCCTGCTCAAAATCTCATTTCCCACAGCACAGGTTATCTGGTATAAAATATGGAATATACATATATGCTGGCGTTAAGCCAATCCGCTATCAACAAGTGAGAAAGCTCTAGTTGGTGTAAAAAAAAAAACAAATAAGAACTGACATTACGACACCAAGATTCAAACATCCATTGTCTACGCAACATGCAACAACTCTACCAACACCGCCACTTCATAATTTCTTTTACAAGAAGTTGCAAATTTGAAGTAGTAGCTGATAATTCAAGCACAATCTTGATTATATATCGCCGCCTGTTAGTTAAAAGCTTAATAATTCGATTGGGAAACGTTTCATTGTGAACTAAGCTCCTCAATATTTTAATTACGTTAGTGGACTCTTTTTAAAAATTGCTTACAAATAAATTAATTAAGTAAATTATACAGTTTTAAAGTTAGAAACCCAAAATTTAATATATAAATTACTGCTGACCTCCTCAATTGATGTATCACAATATAGTGGGTTTGTGCAAATGTATGTACAAGCAGAAGGAGGCGCGGCAGACCCCATAAAGTAAATATATTCTTGATCAGGACGACAAGCCGATTCGATTTAGCACTGTCCGTCTGTCTGACTGACCGTTTGTCTGTATGTGTGAACGCGTCGATCTCAGCTTCTATAAAAGCTAGACTTGAAATTTGAATGTAATGGAAATTGAAATTTTTTGTAGGTCCGCGTATAGCACGCGCAGATCGAGATTGTTTCAAATATTCGATAACTATTCGCATTTAATAGTTATCGAATAAAAACGTGATTGCAATGCAGTTAAATTATATCTTGGACTTCTGAAGAGCTAGAGCCTCAAAATTTTATATTTAGATTTATGTATATTTTATGCAATTTTAATTTTTGTTGGATTTTGACTTCCTGTTCCAAATTTCCCCAAATTCTTTAAATTTAAGTTCAGTTGGAAACAGGGCCATTGTGTGTGTGTCGGTCCATCCACACGGCCGTATCCCTATCACAAACCATAAAAGCTAGAGACTTGAAATAAATGTGTACTCTTGTATATAATACGCTATCTTATCCCATTTCGATAACTCATCCCATTTCCTTATTAAAAAAAATTGATAATTTGACTTAGTTTTTGAAGATGGTTGTGTAATGCATACGCAGATTTTTTATAGGTTGGATTTTGATTACCTCCCTCTAAAAATTTTTGCCTTGACATATACACACATTGTCACGAAGAATCGTAAGCTGATTAGAAAATCGTCTCTTCGTAGGGTTCAGGGTATTTCTTAGTCGAGAACTGTTGAGAAGAGAACTCTGACTTGTTTTCGGCTGCCTTTATTGTGCGGACAAGCTAAAAGTCAAAAGTTAAGCATAGCTGACATTTTTCTGTTCTGTTAAATACAAAAACAGCACCTAGAAGAGCAACAAAACAATCGTGCTGTTTCCTTACTTATATTGACTGACGAAACGAGCAAACGATCAATAACTAACAAACAAACAAAGAAACAAGTATGAAAACTCTAATGGGGGTGTCCGAATAGGAAATGCCCTAAAGCCCGCTCGATCTTGGCTTATATAGCATAAAAAAATGAGAAAAAAAAATTGGCATTAGGACACCAGGAATCAAACCAACATCTCCAATCAATCAAATCAACATCGCTGTGTGCGGTAATATTTAATTTAATTTTTGTTTGTAAATTCCAAATCCCTAGCACCAAAGGTGTTCAAAACTTATCAGAATTTATACAAAGCACTATGTGGTCAGAACACGCCTCTAGAGGGTGTATACATATCAATTTTTTATCTGTAGGAGATCTTAACAGTAACACCCATTCCAATTTGTGAGTCTCTAGCTTTAACAAGTAAGAAAGCTCTAGTCGGGGTGCCCGACTATGAGATACTCTGAACCCAGTCCTCTTTGAGTTTTTAATATTTTCCGTAGTTTGTACAAAGTATTCCAAAAAAACAAATAAACGAAATTACGAGACCAGGATTCGAGCCTAGATTGTGTGCGCAACGTGCACCAACTCTACTAACACCACCACTTCATAATTTAAAAAAATAAAAAAAAAAAACAATAAAAAATATCCCATTGCCGTGAGCTTTGAACCCAGGCATTAACCGCTTACGAGCGCAGCTACTGCACCTCTTGCAAGAGTTGCAAATTTGAACTAAAGTAGTGGCTGATAATTCAAGCAGTATTCAATCGCAATTTCGATTCTTCGAATAGAAAAGAATACACGCATTTGAATGTGTGCGTGCACACGTATAGGAAAAATGCGTACGCGTGGCGCTGCTGACATGTGCTTTTGCAATTTGGCCAAACGATTTGTTTAATAACTTCTGTTTTACTTAATGGATTTTAATGAAATTTTCAGCATATGATCTACATATCCTATTGGCGTGGTTGAGATGCAAACGCCTTGTTCCAAGTGAACTTAAGTTTTAAGAATTTGGGGAAATTTGGAGGCGGTATCCAAAATCCAACAAAAATAAGAATTACATAAAATATACATAAATACAAAATTGGGAGGCTCTAGCTCTTAAGACGTTCGAGATTTAATTTATTTACTGCATTTCAATAATTCTTTATTCGATAACAATTAAATGCGAATAGTTACCGAATATTTGAAACAAACTTGACCTGCACGTGATATACGCGGACCTACAAAAATTTCAAGTCTCTAGCTCTTATAGATACGGACAGACGGACGCACAACCAGACGAACAGACAGGCGGACAGGGCTCAAACCACTTGTCTTGTCGCCCTGATCACGCCTCCTTCTGCCTGTTACATACATTTGCACAAAACCATTATACCCTGATTTCCCATTTTCAATGGGATCAGGGTATAAAAAATAAAACTGACTATAGGACTCCAAGACTTGAATAAACGTCTCCTACGCAACGCGTACACATGCCACGAATGCACCAAAAATATATATACCTTCTGGGGTCTGTCATGCCTGTTTTTTAAACCCTGAATTCCCGTTTTCAATAGGTTCAGGGTGTAAAAAAGTTGATAACGAGCGGCGCTTCTAGCAGCACCGACAATTCCGTTTGAACGCCAAGTTGTAAATCTAAATAAGTGAAATAGTGTATTTTAGCATGGAAAAGAATGCTTATTGTAATGTAATGTAATGCATTGTAAAGTATGTGTGTATAGGAAAAATGTATACTGTTAGCTAACTTCAAAGACGTAAAGAGATATTATTTAATAACATTGAAACGGGAATAGTTATCAATTATTTAAAACAAGGGGAAATAGTGGCCCGCTCCATTACTGGAATCAGAGGTAGCTTGCTTAATAAGGCCCTTTGCGCCTACAATCGTTTTGGAACTCCGAAGCTCAAATGGGAAGATGAGTCAATTTAATAAAGCCCAAAGCGCTTGCGAAGCATTGCTTTACGGCCGTACCGCAATCATTGCGTGCTACTTTTATACAAGCTACTCATACTATGTTTTATTATATATAGCTGTGAACAAATGAATAAAAAAAAATTACACACAAACATATATACATACACACACATATATACAACATAAACACAAACACAATGGAACGTATTCATTTTCATTCATTTCTGCTTACGTAAATTGCTAACGTCATGCAGCATGTTGCACAACATTGATTAGACACAAGCCTTCGGTGCGTAGAGAAAGAGACAGAGCTTATACATATGCAACGCTAAATGTCACGCTACGTAAGCATAAAGTAATGACTACAGACAGCAGTGGCCTCTCCGGCATAGCAACAAAACATATCACGCACACATATCCAGAAACATATGCAGGCATACATATGTATGTATATACACAAGCAACATATCAGTACCAGTTGCCAAAACTCACCACACATGACAGCAAAATAGCATGGTGAACAAAGCAGCAACAGACTTGAAAGTAGACCTCGGAGCCCTCGGCTTAAGATGTAATAAAGTTAATTAAGCTATAAGGCAACATAGGTACATATGTATGCTTGCATATATGAATGTATATACACACAGGTTGATATTGAACGTATAAGGTGTAGCGGCTGCCGAATGTCTAGTGTGCGCATCGGCTGTCTGGGATGATGTCTGTATTAGCGTCGCGTCGTTGCTTTTACGCAATAGGCAGACGATGCTGATGTCTAACAGACGAAGGCCAAACGTGACTGGTAACCAGGCCCTGACGCTGCCGCTGAACACCGAGAGACATACGAAATAACCGCCACACCGGTGGGACACATGTCTGACCCCATAAAATTCATATGTTCCTGATCAGGACGACGAGTTGTGTAAATTTAGCCTTGCCCGCCTGTCTGCCTGTTCGTCTGTCCGTTTGTATGGCCATATAAATCTCAGTACCTACAAGAGCAAACTTTAAATTTTTTATTGTTTCGTTTATGGGATGTGCAGAGCAAAATGTTTCAAATAATCGATACATTTCCAGCTATTGAATTATATCTCGTTTATCTTTGGAGCTAGAGTCTAAAATTTTTGCATGTGGTTCATCGGATATATTATACAATGGTTCATCGTATATATTATACAATTTTGAGTTTTGTTATATTTGGACACTCCCATTTCATTAAAATGAAGTTCAGTTAAAAATATGCCCATTATTTTAAAGCTTAT